CCACAGAAAAATCTGCAGCAAAAACCATGTCAACCTCTCGGATGCAGACAATACAGCCTACTTCAAAAAATACCTGAATCATGCAAACCAAACACACACATAACCTTTTGACAAACTTAAAAATGGTGTAATGAATCATCACATAGTTATCTTAAGCAAATTATGAAACTTAAAATAGTATTAAACCATCACACAGATATCTCTGAGCAAAATCAAGAAGCTGCCTAGTAGGGCAAGAGAGAATGCCAATACCAGCATATCAAACACTTAGAACATCCACCTGGCAAGCGTAAGATATGCATAGTGATATGATACACCAGAGTAAAAGCAAAAACTGATTTGACAGAGTTTGATACAAATTGAAGTATCATGTCATGCACGTTTAATTCATTGAATTAGCTAGTGTATGTTTGCATGCTCTTACTTATGGAGTAAAAAGTACCAAACACCAAAGGGAAGTTTGATACACATTAAAGGATCACGTCAAGCACTAATCACTCACCTTCTCCATCAAAAGCCCAGCTGAAGGTCTGAAGGAAAAAGCCCTTTTACTCCCGTCAAACATAGGACACAAGTGACGTATTAAACTAATAAACAATAACTCAAACAACCCCAAAGATTGTACGCTGAGGCTAACCTATTGAGCTAACTGTGTTCGGGTAAATAGCCAACAAATCCAGCAAAAAATGCAATTTGTTTACAACCATAAATTGCACCAAAAGAATGAGAGGGTCTGAGGGTTTACTGGTACAACTCGTCTATATATCAGGAAAAAACCAAGAGAGTAGCACATGAATAATACACAGCAAGTCGGACAGTGGATGGAGATTTTCATATGAATAAAATAATACACAGTAAGTCGGATGGTAGAATGGAGATTTTTCCCCAGAAAAAGTGCTATTGATTCAAATTAATAAAAGAAACAAAGGTGTTACATACCAAAACTTGAAACAAATATTGCACTGATCATCAAATGGTGCAAACCTTTACTTGTTCAATTCCTCCAAAACTTGTTCGAGAGCCAACCTATCAACATTCATCAACTAAAATCAGTCATCCCGTAAGGAACACATATATCAAATTATTTTCTCTTATATATTTATTTGGGGTTTGGGCATAGGAAAGAGAAGATCGATATGGCTGCAAAATAAAATTCAAATCATGAGCATCGCATCTTGATGATATGAAGTAGCATGAAAAGAAAATAGAATGTTCAGTCATCTGTTTCCCCAGATTCATTAGGAATTTCTTTATGCTTATAATCCGCTAAATTCATATACTTTGTCCTGTGTTTAGGCCTCATCTTGCTTGCAAGTTGACCAAAATGAATTTCTAATGTACTGTTATCCCTTGTTATTTCAACAGGATCACTCTATTCCACTCAAACTTATATCACAAAGGTGGAAGATGCAAATGACTTTAAAGCTCAGCAAATACCTATACATACATTTCTTCTATACCAATTTCAGACAACCTAAGTTCGTTTTAATTAGCTTTCAAGATGTCTGAAAACTAATTCAGTGTAAAACAAAAGTAGGATGACAACTAAAACAAAATTACAAGTTCATATAGATGAGTCCATGGTTCAATATTGCATGATTAAACCCAAGATAGACCGTAAAACACTCTTGCTTATTCAAAACTTTCTTCAAAGAAGTAATTATATTTCTATAACCCTTATAAATGATAAATCAACCCAAAGAACTTGGAAAATTTTCCAACGGAGATAAAAAGTAATATACAAGGAGCCAAAACTTGTAGGTCAAACCTTTCTTTAATTTCTTCTGCTTTAAGTTTATCCCACTCTGCAGCTGCTGCTCTGCAACAAGAGTATCTTAAAGTGTGTTACGACGCATTCACAAGGACAACTTTTTCCACCTCCCTCTCTCTCTACCTACATATACATACATATGCATACATATCTTGGTTTTCCACCTTCCATTCCATATGCAGATAAAAGTACAGTACAAAAAACATGGAATAGATTTTGCCAGGGATGACAAAGAAAATAAAATGCACGTGGCAACATCTCAAGTTCATTCTAACATGATAATTATGCACATTTTCTGCCCCTACTAGGAAATCCTTTTCAAATTTTAGAAGGCCTTCGGTCAAGCTCCCTAAGCAACCATCCGCCACTAAACCAATTGAGGTAATCAAATTCTTCCTCTTCTCAACTCATCTTCCCATCTAACAATTCCTCTGACAAGCCTTTGTCAGGAAAAGCCGCAAATCAAAGGCTGTACATGACTGGGGATACAATACCAGTGATTTGCATGTCCCAGATGAGCTTTGATGCTCATATTTACCTCCATGTAACTTTCAACGGTTTCTAATAGGGAGAATTTCAGAAACCTCCCTGAGGTTTCGTGAAATATCACTAAGCTCCCCCACGTTTTCAAAATCTCTCTTACCACCCCTCAAGTGATTGTGGTGTCACATGTCATTATCAAAATGGACGAATTGTCAACAATAACCTCATTTCTTCTAGCAATTATTTAGCATATGAAAAGCAAAAAAAAATAAAAAATAAAAACAAAAGAAAGATAGCATGTAATAGCCTAAAGCCCGGGAAATAATTGGCCCACTTACAAAAAATAAAATGTTTTGATTTCTAGTTCAATTTTCCTTTAAGATTGAACTTTATAATTTGACTTGGGGCCAATACATAATAGTTTTGACTTTTCATGTGCACTTAGTATAAACCATTATTGATATTGTGCAAGCGTCTTGATAATTTTTTAATATAACCAAATATATATATTTTTTAAAAAAATTACCCATGGCCACCTTTGCTTTTAGTTTCATACTTACCTTAGTTCACTAGTTATTTCTTAATCTATTATACTTAGTTAGGGTAAAGAAATCAGCACCATGTCTTTTGACATCCAACACTGGTAGCAAGTTTAGAAACAAGAATAGGATCCTTATTATTACCCTTTCGATATCTTTTTTAATATGTTTTGTTTTATTTTAATTTTTCTTTCAATTTTCTTCTTTACACTGATATAATCAAAACATGTGACTATGATAATGTTTTTTGGAATATCGAATTTTTTTATGCATACGTCCAATAATAATACCCTATAACAAGGGTGAGTTGAAAGGAAACTAACCTTGTGTATATTGAAAAAAACTGGGGTGGTTTTGAATGGTTGTTCTTAGGAGTTTTTGTAAAAAAGTTAAATATATATTTTTCTATTTACATTGCTAATTACACAGTTTTAAAGTTCCAAGAAGGTGTACAAATAACATAGCACAAACAAATAAATAAAAGCCATACCTTTTGATAGCTAATCATTTTCTTCTACCAATTTCCCCTCAATCTGCCCATTTTCTAAAGCTATTTCTACCTTTTAATATTATTGCCAGGAAGCCAAAACTAACGGAAGAGGGGCAAGAACGGTTGTAGGTTCCTGGCAGTTCACGGCTAAGATTTGGTCAAAAAAATTATACGGTCCAAATTTCATCTTGTATCTTGATTTTAACATATATAGGACCCACAAAATTTTGTTCTAAAGTTACACGTTGTTGAAAGTAAATTACACCATGTGCAACCAAAGTTACTCCGTGTGCAAAATGCACATAACTATCAGGAACGGTTGCACCAAAACTAACCGTTGCCTTCCTAACAGTCATTCACCTTTCTCACTTGTAGTCCAATTTTCATGCGTTTCACACTTTGACCCTCTCACTTTCTACATAGATTTTTTTTGGTCAGCTTAAGGGTATTAAGAGAACTAAAACCCTCTCTCTCCTCCAAAATGCATTTTCTATTAATACTTTTGGTTAGAGGGGCTGACATTGTTAACAAAATATCAATTCAAAGGGTGGTAAGAGAGATTTTGAAAACGCAGGGGGAACTTAGTGATATTTCACGAAACCTCAGGGGAGGTTTCTGAAATTATCCCTTTCTAATACTTCCCCCATCACATCTCATGTGGCCATTCCTAGCATCACATTAAATCAACAACAATCCAAATGACGTCAAAAGGGTAAAAGGAAATTTGTAATTGCTTTTTAGACTAAACAACGCAAAGTTTAAATCCAAAAACCAAATTAAAAACAGCTAGTTTCAGTGGGGATTAGCATGATTGTCTACTTATTGCCAACTCTAGCTCGCATCCAGGCATCTATGTACACAAAGATCCCATTTATTCACAAGGCACCGAGAATAAATTCAGTACATACTCTCTGTTTGAAAACCTTTGGTACAAGAGGAGATGGAAATGATCTGGTATTAAGAGCATGAATTTTGCAAGTAGTATACTTAGGCACTGAATTTTGCTTATGAAGCAAAATGACTCAGATCAGATTCTAAAAGTAATAATTTGTTTACCACATATTTAGGAGATCTCATTATCCCACAACCATTCTAAAAACCAGGTGTGACTCCTATACTTTTCTATTCCTCTTCATATACTCCTCGTTCCTTTAAATGCTTCTGGATAAAATTCACAAACTCTGATACCTAGCTGGATCAACCTCTTTCTCTGGGCTGCGATCGCTTATTAATCCATCTATAACCTACCCTCCAGATTGGCAAAAACTTCATCACTAAGCAAGGTACCACAATCAATTGCTGATATCCTGAGTTAATTTAACTAGACAAAATATCTTGTCATCATAGGAAAACAGATTACATATTGCGAACTTAAACTCCTATCTCTACAATTAATAGAATGCTCTCTATTCTTTAATTTTCATGTTGATTTTTGTGGCAACTTCTAAAAAGTTAATAATCAACTAACCGCAACAGAAAAAATGACATCCCATTCAATTGCTTAAGAAATCATCATAATTGCTAGTAAAATATAATGATAATGATAATATAATGTATGTGAGATAAATACCTAATTGAAAAATACATTAATGATTCAAATAAGTAAAATTATGCGAATAATAAACCATTCAAACAAACCCTTTTTTTCATTTCATGAGTTGGCATCGGCTTAGCTTAATTAAGAAATGAAGGAATTGATAAAGACGGCTTCTCCTTATCTATCGCGAGAAGTGAAAGATGAAAAGGAAAGAATACAGATGGGAAAAATCCTCAAGCCTGAAACTTATAAACTGGATTTAGGATGACCCTTTAATCATCAATCTGTATAGTTTTTCTTTTTTTTTTTCCCAAAAAAAGTTGGGATCATCTTTTCTTGTTTGCAGCCCTACTTTTATTAGTAGTAATTAATCGAAGAATCGGAGTAGCAGCAGCGTCAAATTACTTACTTATTAGGAGGAGCAGGGACGATGGCCTCCTCCCGCTGCTGCTGCTGCTTTGGCTTTACCACCACCGACATCCCAATTACTACTACTACTACCACCACTCGTAGTTATCGCCCCCAATTTGTTCAGCACATGATTCAGCTGCAGCAGCTCCCACCTCACCCCTCTAACCCCTGCCGCCACTTTTTGCATCATTCCCCCGCTTCTTCTTCTTCTGCTCGACTACTAAATGCAACATCGTTGCCTTGCACCTCCTCATCTTCATCTTCTTCCTCACCCTGGGATGATAAACCCTACGAATTGTTGCCGAATGGCAGAATATCATACTTGGACGAGCAGGACATCGTCTCATTTCTTGATCCTCCCAAACACCTCATTCCTTTGGACCCCTCTTCTTTCAATCCCGCCTCTTATCTTTGGTACTTTCAACCATAAACAAAATGCTGCTCTCTAACTACTTCTCAGTTGGATTTTATGTCTTGTTTGTCTTTTTCTTTGGTTAGAAAAAAAAAAAAAAACTGGCTTGTCCATCTGTTTTAATTCCAAGTGTTTGCTTTTGGTTAGGAAGAAAATTGAGGATATTCCAGAGGAAAGGCGGCGTCGTTTGCTTTCTTTGCTCAATCCCAGGTACCTCAATCTCTCTGTTAATTAGATCATCAATAGAAGTATACTCTCGGAAGCACCTTGCCTGACTGAAGCAAGCCAATCTATGATGGATGTCTTTCCTTACTACTAATAATTTGTTAATCGCATTTGTGTTTTTCTTCCGTTTGTGAAAAGTTTTAGTGTTTGCTGCTCATCCATGCTAAATTTATTTGCTTCCCTCGCTGCTTCGTGTTGCTAACCTTACCTGAACTTTATTATGCGTGGAATTCATATAAAAACTCTTGCTTCTCTAAGTCTGTGCTATGTTTCAGGCTCATATCAAGAGCATGGGAAATAGCAGGCACGCGGTATGACGATCCCAAGTTAGCTGTGAAAAGCGCATCCAATCTGCTCTCTCATGCAGATGATCATGCATTGCCACTTGAATTTTGGAACTGCCGAACAAGTGGAGGTACCCTGCTAATCACCCCTCATATATCTTCTTTAGGGAAGCCTTGTTTCTTATTAGCACGCATGAAGAAGCAAGGCTGTGATTCAGTTGATTTAAGAACATGTTATGGACAAATATGTCTTCTACGGTGGAAGCAAATTAACTGTTGAAAGCTTTGCTTAACATCCGTGGACTCTGTATAATGATGGTTCAAGTGCTCCCATGTTTGTTTTTTGCTTCCTGTAAAATAAGGTTCAAGAGAAGTCGTAGGCAACCTTTTGCAACCTGATATTGCGGAAGTTTTAAGGGAATCTTTTCTTGTTTTGGTACAGGGCCACTTGCCATTGCCTGGATGAAATATTTGAAGAAGGTCAAGTCTTTTATAAGTCTCTCTTTAGGCAATGCCGCCTCTGAACTAGTATTCCTTGGACCAAATTTAACTGTTTATTTATGGTTTCGTTGCCAGGCATTGTTTTACAGCAAGGAAAGGACATATGGACGATTCATTGGTATGTTGAGATGGTATTTACATTTTCGGTTTCTGGTTAACTCCTTTGTCCTTGCTTCTGTCCATTTCCTTTCTGTTCATTTCCTTCAATTGAATCGTAGTGGCTCAAGGAACATTTTAAATGGATGGATTAAGTTTGTCTGATGGTAGCCTCCTAGTTATATACTTCTCATATTTTTTCCGAGCAAACACATTAAGAATTGTACCTCTGGCGTCTCTGCCAATTTTTTTTTTTCTTATCAGCTTGTTATCATAATCAGAGAATTAGGCTCCGTTTATGTTGGTTACATGGTCTCAAGACCTGATGCCACGCCGGCTTCAACCAAGTTTATTGTATCAATAGCTGACCGAGTGCAGTATGATGTCTGGCGTTTTAGGGGGATCTCTTCTGGAGGGAATTTCAAGTTCCTTTATCCCGTTGTATTTCACGATCAGAGAAATCCACGAAGTAGTGTCGACAGAGCAGCCTTGTGATTTAGCATATGAATTCGGCGACGGACTGTTGGATCTCTCTGATTATCCCCGGGGCTTCCCCAAGCCAGGTTCGTTCGTTCGTAATAGCATTCTCAATATGGCAAAATCGATACAAGTACGACCTTTTGATTTCTCAATCCACACCAACTTTTATATCCGGTGCTGTTCTTATGCTACATTTCAGCAAAACATCCATGGCCTTTCTGCGATCAAGTTGTCGTATATGTCCGTCATCTGGGACCCGGAGTATTGGTTGGCCAGGCTTGGCAAGAAGGGGAAGCACTGGAACAAGTTCCTACAAAGCTTTGCGGAGAGATTTTAATGGTTAAAGACAATTCTGGTGGCATGTGAAATATTCTCCTACTCCATCCTCTCTCTTTCCTTTCGCTCCAATGTTATGTTGTTGTTAATTCTTCTTCAAGAATGTGGCAGAATGAATGAAAAGGCCACTGCCGCTGCCACAAGGCATTTTCTTTTATTATCTCTGTTTGCCCTTTGGCTTTGGTCAAATGAGTCAGGATCGCAATTTGATAATTTGAGAGGGGCCTATCCCGTATTCTTCGTTAATGAGTAAGGAGCTTCGGATTCAATATATAGTAGTATCTCTTTTGCCATCATGATCTACATTTTCATGAAATTGTCAATAGATATCCCTGCTTCACTGTGTGAACTCGAATGATTTTAAGTATTATATTGTCCTACTCCTACATCAATGATTAGTCAAATGAAGTCTTGTCTGTTTCAATTTTCGTCTGGATTCTAAAGTTATTTACCCATCCAGTTTACTCACTCTTCCCAATTGAAGAAGTTATGAAACAAATTCCATTCTAGAAAAATCTATATATATACTCACACCATTTCATCTTTAAATTTCTCTTTGTTATGTTGCCAGATTGACTTTAAATATTTTGGACTGTGATTTTCTATCAAAAAAACTTTTACGTTTTTCGTGAATATATTTTTCAACTATCTTTTTACTTCACGTACATCAAATCGTTCTAGTATATTTTCTGACAAAAACAAAATCATAAAAATATCAATTCAAACATGACTTTTTTTGCGTTTAAGGCGTGTAAGTTTTGGGAATGTAATTTGATTACATTCACAAGAAAGTAAATTTCATTCAAGATTTTGTGTGTCAGAAATGCATAATAATCTGTGATTTTCAGAGTACTGTTGGTACAAACAAAAAAGATTTAGATCAAATGTTTTAACGCAATTCCTTACGAATTTTATCCACAAGAGAGACAGAGAAGGGAAGAAGGATTTATTAAAAAAAAAAAAAGCTAAATTAATAAAAGAAGGGAATTTTGATTTTATTATTTCTTTGCAAACCCCTTATCGGTTGCCAAAGTTGGAGCTGGTCTCTGCTTCTGAGTCCACTCTTATCTTTTCTCCATTTTCACAGCCATTAGAAAAAGAAAAACCCCATCCCCGGGGAATATCAGTGACCATTTAGTAATTCGGAGCGTTCACCGGAATAATAAACTATTTTTCTTTCTTTCTGTCGTTCTTTTACCGGGAAAAAAAAAAGAAAGAAAGGGGAGAAAAAAAAAAAAAAAAAAACAAATGCTTCTCCAAATCCAATCCCTGACCTCTCACTTCCCACCGTCTGCTCTCCCCTCGACGACGACGACGACGACGACGACTGCCTACTTTTCCAAACCTTCACTTTCTGTTTCTAAACCCAGTCCCAGCAGTCAGTTTTTCACTCAACTAAAACTTCGGAACCCATGTCCCAGATTTCCGGTTGTGCCTCCCAAATGCTCAGTTTCTGTGGTCTCACAACCTGGAAGCTCCCACTTGGAGTTGACCTCCACCGATAATCACAAGCCATTCCCAGCTGAAGTGTCCAGAACCATTGTGGAATTAGCCTCCCGGGGCACTCTTTCTGCCCTCACCCAAGAATCTGAGCATGGTGGTTGGCCTCTGGGAATTGGTGTTCGCTTTGCTGTTGATTCTCAAGGCACTCCAGTCCTGTGCTTGAAATTCGATACCTCCGTTCCAACATTCCTTCCTAATAACGGAACGCGCTCTAGCCTCCATGTTCAGGTTTGCTTCTTCCGAATAATGATACGCGATATTTTATCTCGTACATCGATCAAGTTTGCATCTTTAATTTATTACTCCATCTATCTAAGTTGTTTTTATTCAACTGTTTCTGTTGAGAACTAAAAATTGGCCTTAATCCAGTTGGATCAGTGTCGGTTGCGGACTCCACAGTGCACACTACTGGGGAACCTTCAAAAGGTAGAGGATCAAATGGCTTCCAAGGTAAAAGTTCTTTTCTTTGCCACAATTTTCCTAGTGTCACAGACCTTCTTTTTCAGCCCAATCCAATTTTCCCTTCACGATCGTGTTAGCAAATTGGACAGCATTAATGGCCTGACAGATTCTTCGCATGATGTTCAAATCCACCATCAACATGGCAGCTTCTTTAAGTGCTAATGGATCCACATCGATTGGTTTTCACCTGTTTTTTCGATCCTTGGGTGGAGCACTTATTTTATTGGACCAAAATGTAGAATGCTATTTGAATTCAACGTAATTTAGTGGCAGGCTGTGCTGGGTAACTATAAGTTGGCCAGTACGAGTCTACAATCATAGAAATTCATGGCCTTGCCTTGTATCCTAGCTTTTGAAGACATCTAGAAGCACTCAAATATAAAATATATCCATGAACAGCATCCTATTGAAATTTGGGTTTTCAAATTGTTCATCCAACTTCTCTCTCCGCCTATAGTGAAGTGTGTTAGATATACAAGTTGCAGTGCCTAGGGCATTGTGTACCTTCCAAGGTGTTCTTTATTGACTAACCTATCTATAAATTGTGAGAATCTTGGGAGAAAGCTATTCCTTTATTAATTTTCTGTTATTTATGCTAGATTACCGGAGTGACATAGACAAAGACGCCTGACCGTAGAAGGCTACAGTGAAACTAAAGATTTTGCACTTGTAGCCATCTTTCTTAATCAACTTAGAACAATATCTCTTCCTGCCACTCTATGATAAGCCTGAGGAATATAGTCAAGATTCTATATGCTTCTCGGAGTGGAATAGAATGCAACAAAATCATAATAAAGGAACTACATGTTCATTCTACTTTGTATGATTACATGCGTATGATGTGAAGTGAAGAAATTAAATAAAGAGACAATGCTTGAACAAGTAAAAATAGTTTGGACAAAGAAGTAGAGGAACCATGAACTTTTTGAGAGACATAAGATACGCAGAGTACTAGAACTGAAGGAAATCTCTTTTATGTTGGCACATTGTTGAGTGGGAAATGAGGTAGTCTATTTCGTCTTCTCCTCTAGCCAGAAAAAGGTCTATTTTTGTAACTACTATGTCTATATTTCTAAATATGGAGCAAAAGCTTGTTAGTAAACTGGAGTTTTCTGTTTTCTGGAAACAATTAGTTGCATACTTTTCAGTTCAAGTCATTTTGATTGCCATTCTCTCTTTTGTAGAAGCTTCGTTCTTTATGGAAAAAAAATTTTGGTGAGGAAGTTGACGAAGGCCTTTTATATGTTGTTTCCGTGGAACGTATACTTCACATGGAAGATTTTGGGGAGGTATGTTGGGTGTTGGTTGTTCGTATGCTTTCATCAAACCATTTTCTTTTGATCATTGTTGCTGCCATGTGTCATTGATGTTTGTATTTTTTCTCCCACATTGGTATTGTTTTCAAGTTTGCACTGTTCTTCAAGAAGGAAAATCTTTCTTATAGTACGGATAGTGCAGTGAAAGAGATTAACAAATTGTGATATGTGCTGTTCTAGGATGGTGTGTGGGTCACATCAGCAGATTATAAGTTGGCAAACCCCGACCCACTCCGAGGTTTTGCAGAAAAGATTGTGGATGAGATAAATGCTAACAATATGGAAGATGTCTACCGCTTTTGTAACATCTATGCAGACTTGGGTTTCCAGGTTTGGTTCTTGTAGAATCTTGTAGCTCTTGATTTGTTGTTTGTCACTGATTTTGTGTTAGTTTGAAATCTTTGTGCTAGAAGTGACTGTTAGATGCATGAAGCCAACAATACATTCTACTGGTTCCTCTTATCCATGGTTTACACATTGTATTTCATCCTATATGATGGAAACTAATCATGCCATTTGGAAAATTTCCATCATTCCATGTGAAACTCTTAGAAACTAGTGTTAATTTTCTTGTCTTGCATGATTTTCTGTAGAACATAAGGACTCTTCTATGTTAGACAAAAAGCTGATCTGTAAATATGCTTCTAAGAGGGAGCTAAAAATGCATGATTCATAAAAGTTTCTTGGCAGTTCTGCTGGAACTGTAAAATGGAATTATGGCAATAAGAAATTGGATAAACTTGATGTTTGGTTTTAGAAGTATTTATCAGCTATGAGTACATTTCATTTAGTGACGACTAAGTTCGGCTATTATTTTTGCTAGCACTTGGATTTTTTGGTTAGTATTGGTTCAGGTAAACTAAATGAAGATTCTTGTACAGGTGTTGGATGCCAAGATGGTTTGGGTTGATCGCTTGGGCTTCGACATGCGGGTGACTTCTACTCAAAATGATGTATTTGAATTCCGAATTCCTTTTCCTGGAGAAGTAACAGATGAGAAGGGTGCAAAATCAGCGTTCAATTGTATGTCTCAACTTGCTTGGGAAGTGGAAAAGAATTTCCAGGTCCCAGAATTCAAGCGAGTGAAACAACTGAAGAAGATTACGAGCAGATGCTGAGTAAAAACAGCTTCGGGATCTAAGATTAACTAACTTCTTATGCAATTTTGCTGCATGGATTCATCTTTTGCTCCATTTTACAGGTAGCAAATTTTGTATGTTATTGCCCCACTATTTACGGTGGGGCTGCAAATATTTGAAACTTTTTCTACACAAACACTCCTTTACTGGATACTGGATTACACGCTTGCGGAGTGAGAGAGCCTGAAATCTGCTTCTCCTTTGCAGATTTTGTTATAGGATGGTTGTCATATTCACAACAATATGTTGCCATCAAGATTAGGTTCTCTTGCTTTTACCGCCTTTGCCTTCTTTAGTTGTCATTTTGCAATGTCTGTCTATCTTGGTTGAGCGGTTCAACCCCCCAGCTTTCTATTGTCAAAAGCTCAGAGGAAAATTCTATTTATTCAACCTGTAGTTTAGAGTTCTACAAAAGTAAACGTAGAGACACCAAAGTCTCTCTTGCTTTGAACTTGATTACTGACTGAATGGTGATTAGAAGCCAAATAGTTCAAACAAATTCAACCCGTGATGTGAGTGGCTTGCTGCACTCTCTTTAAGAATATAAATCAAAATTCCAGTTTTAGCAGGACAGTCAACAACTGCTGGAGGGCAGGTAATGCTGAGGAGAAAGTGCAATAAAAGTGCTATTTCTACCTAGTAAGGTGAAACGAGATGCATCATTGACTTTGATCAGAAGGCTTTCTGATTTCCATATATATCGCTTCATATTAGCTTGCTTAGCACAGAAATTGATATCTATATAACATCATTGCTGTACATCAACCCCTTTTTTTTTCCCAAGATTCTGGACCTCATGATAGGGAATTTAATAATTTTAGTCTTACATGAGCTATACATATACAGGTTGAGGTTATAGATGAATATCATGTTGTTTGTATCATATGCAACAAGAACACCTCAGCTAATCGGTCAGAGGTTAAGGGGAGATTGTGCTGTGAAAACTTCGCTTGATCCCAATATTGCTTTACTTTGTATGCATCCTGGAAACTCCGTAACGCATAACTATGTAGGATAGACTTAACTCTATATATGATGAAGTAATTGGTCGCCGAGGATCATCAAACTCTTGACACGATCATGCAGCTGCAGGAGTTGAGGGAAGGTGAGTTGTGACAGCATTCTTAATCTTAGTGGCAAGATGTGTGCATTTGGTGCTGCCATATTTCCCCACTTTCGACTGAAATAGAGAATTGATCATATTCTCCAAGATTGCAGGGGTGTACTTCACGTACTTACTGGTGTCTTCTTCATATTCGATCAGGGGCATGTATTTCTGTATGTAGCTTTTGTAAGAAGGAAAAACACTCTGCATTATAAGCTGGCATGTCCTCAGTCTCAGCCCTCTATCAGACAACACCCAGTAGGATTGCTGTTTATACATGTCTTCAAAAGCATTGCAGAATTCCTCAATTCTCTTTTGTACCAGATTATGATTGATTGCTCTTCCACCTGGGAACAAAACCAAGTCCTCCTCGCTTATTAGTGCTGGAAGTTTTCCCCAGCTCTCACTGACATATGTTGCTGCATAGTACTCCATGTCGTCCTCATAAGCCCTCAACCAATCGTGTCCCATGAGGTCACCAAGCTTTGTTCCCTCAACATTCTTGCAAAAATACCAATAATTGTTCATCCTGAAAAAGTGGGACAGATTGGTGTCCTCGAACGCTTTTGCCCAAGTTTGCAAGTTGAGCTCAAGTGCCTCAAGTATGCGTTGGACCTGGCCTGAGAGAAGTCCCTGTTCAAATTCAAGATTATTCCAACTGCAGTGTATCTCCAGAACTTCCAGCAATATTGACTTGTACTCATCCTCAACCAGTATATTGCAATAATCAATGACAAAGCGTACCAGCCTTGGGACGCTGCCATCACTTGGTGGATTGTATGACCTTTGTGACTCCACTTGAATAGAAAGCTCCCAGAAAAGTTCACAAGCCCCATCAACGACTCCTTTAATGAGGTCTCTGGTCTGAGTTTGAATATCAAAACAGGATTTTCCACTGAAGAGTCTGTTAAAATTTAGTCTCAGCTCATCCAATGCTGCAAAGATGTCCAAGAGCTTCAAAAGCTTGATCGCTTCCTTCTTACTTCGTGTGATTGAGTTGGCGAACTTGATGAAATTCTGAAATCCGGATCGAAGAACAATCTTTGCAAAGCATTCCATACAGACATCAGATCCAGCTTTTTGGAAGACTTCATGGCAAAGCCTGTATTCCATCTCAAATAGATATTTGACGGCAAATTGCAGGTGCTTAACCCATTGGTCTATGCAGCCTTCTAAGTTTTGCACACTATCAAATTCAGACAATGATAGTTCAAGGTAACTAAGATCCAGTGCCTGTAATGCTGTCGTAACTATTGAAGTCCGAACCTCGATGTAGATGGACAGGCACCTGTCAAGACGATTGCTCGCAGTTAACCTCTCCATGATGGTCTGCATCTTCTCTATGTCAGAGTCAGGGAAAGATAGTGGAGGAGGAATTGGACTCACTTCTAGCTCGTCGGGCCGGGGAGGAGGAAAGCTGTTGTCAGTCACAAGGCGTCTGAATTCATTTTCAAGCTGCTTGAAAGCATCCATTAGAAGCCCTCCATTGAGACCAAAATTTTCCTCAACTTCCTGCAACTGTTGAAGTATCATCAAGGATTTCTTGAACTTAAGAAAGTACAAATCTCCTTCAATGCCTTTGTCTTGAAGAAACTGCACTGCATCTTCTAGCCAAAGAGTGACCAACTTGCAACTATCTCTGAGGAGCTTGACTGCTTCCTCCATCCGCTGAACGTTGATGAGATAACTACGCAAATCAGAAGAAGGATCGGCTGAGATGAGCGAAGTCTCGAGCTCATGAACAACGTCAAAGATCCTTAAAACAGCAGCAGCAGGGCCAAGAGCACGGTCAACATGGCCCCTGACGTCATAAAGAGCGCATTTAGAAGCCACATTTCCAATGGCGGATCGGAGTGATGCCAATCGCTGCTCGCTCTGGTCTAATCTCGAGCCCGTTTCTCTGATGGCGAAGTCTAAATCCCATGATTTGTCCAAGCTTTCCTTGAGAATTTCGCGTGCAGCAGCAACGGAGGCAAGGTCCTGCTCTTGCTGTGCCATGGCAGAATGAGAGTTTAATAGTGGCGTGCAGCTCAAAACGGTTGTATATAGTGTAGAATAAGACATTATTGATTGGCCATCCATTATAAGCTGACGGGTGCGAAAGAAAATTCATGGAAGTCGTCTTGATCAGTAACTGCCGGTTTTCTCAACCCTAAGCCAAGTTTCTAACCAAACTTGACTGCCAAAGCAAGAATATTCAGAATCCACAACCACCCAACTGCAGCAGTGGCCCATTCTTTCTGTTTCTTCAATTAACTAAGTTGATTTCCTTCCGTCATCAGTCCGACAGAGTGTCATGACCATGACTCCGTATGCTGTGCTGTGCGATGCTCATTAATTGGCCATCTTTTGTTTTCTCGTACCGCCTAAGAAACGTAGCCTCAGGCTCAGCAAATATATTATTATTATTATTATCAATGAACTATTTTCCTCTCTATTTTTATGCGACTAAACAAACAATATATATTCGTAGGCTTTTTCTTTGCTTGAATTGAATTGTTCTACTCTACTGTAGACTATGAAGAAGGTTCAATCTTGACAACCCTTCCTTCAGACATCCGGAAAAGAAACACAAATGCTTTGCGTAGCAAAAAAGCCATTTTTCCTTTGAGGAGTGAAGGCAACATCAACTCAAACCAAAGAAGAATGAAAGTTCCTAGTCAACATATCAATTCCACATTAATTTCTGGTGACGATCCGGGCTTGAATTGCCTTCGAATAGAGATGATTTTGGTTTGCTGCTTGGGCAATTGGCAAGATGTCAGATTATGGTAGCAAATCCAATTTTAACTGTTTTGGAAAAATAAAAAGGAAAACATGCTGACCTCAAAAAAAAAAATTTTTTTTTTTTTACTCCACTGAAAAGAGAAGCTTCCTCCACTCAAAAAAATTATCGGTGTTCAGGGGATGGGGCCTCTTCTCCCGAACCGGAGTGGGATTAGTTGGGCCCCGTAAGAATTGATTCGGACACCCACTCCGCCAAAACAAAAAAAAAAAAAAAAGCTTCCACAAAAGGACTACTTATCAACTTGCGATACTCTTTTGGGGCCTAAAAGTAAAACGAAGAAACATAATGTCATACTTTTGGGGCCTGAAAATGAAATGAAAGAATAATTCCCGATTACTCTCTTTTTTTTTTTTTTTTTTTTTTTTTTGGGGTGGTATCCATTGGGAAAAGTTAGCCCTAACCTAAAGGAGGAGGCTAGACGCCTAAACCCTTAAACCCTGCCACTCACTCCAGCCCAACGCCCACCTTCACCCTCCGCGATAACCTTCTGCCTCTCCTCCCCTCCGTGATAACCTTCTCCTTGCTTAAGGAAGCACTAGGCGCCCGTCTCCTCTTGCTGTTCTTTGAGCAGACAAGTTTGGCCCAAAGATTGGTAAGGGGATTCCTCTCTTTAATTGATTTTATCCGTTGGATTTCTGTTATTAATGCTTTGGCGATACTGTTGGGGCACTTTCATGGTCTTTTTTTATTGACATTTGCAAAGCCGAAATTTTCTTGATTTGGTCCTGGGTTGAAACAAACCGATTGGGCTGCCTTTTTTTTGCTTCGAATACTCGCTGAGCTAGTTGCCACTGATTCTGTGGAACGGCCAGCCAGGTTCCGGTGACGAGTCTTTGAACCATTGTTGAGTCTCCACTCCGTCTCGTCTGCTTTGTCTCCCTTTCCCTCTCACATGTTTGCCAAAAAAAAAAGTTTTTTTCTTTCTTTTATCACGTCATTGGTTTCTCCCCTCCTCCCTCCTCCTGAACTGATATACTTGCAATGTCATCTTCACAGTGTTTGCTGCTTCCACCTAAGCTTTAATGCCTGCGCCAAAGCTCGGAAATATGCCCGGGAAAAACCCCACAAAACCTCCTCCTAATAAAAAGCAGAAGAAAGAACTTTTTGCAGCCAAACCATCAACAATAGAGGATCTTCTTAGTGATTCCGATGCAACAGATGAACAAGTTGATGAATATGAAACTTCTGATGATGATCAACAACAGGACCTTGATTCTGGTTCTGATTCTGAAATGTCTTCTGTTGGGGATGATCCTTTTGCTCTTGATATTCTGCAAGCTAATGCAGAAGGAGAAGCAGGTGCCCTGTTTCTCAATACATTAGTCTGCTATTGTTTCCCCCTGATATTTTGTCCTTCATCTGTTGTCTTCAAATACTTCGTCATGTCTTCTGTTGCAGAGGAGGTTTCAGATTTAGATTCTGATTCAGATGAATCTGACATCGAGAAGAAGTCTAGGGCTATTGATGAAGGAAGAGCAAGGGAAGAGGAGGAAGCAGAAGCTGAATTGCAGCTTAACATCAAACACCAATCTGATGAGTTCAGATTGCCTTCCAAGGAGGTCCAGTTTCTTTCTTCTCTCGTCTTTTCCTGGTTTGGATTGGGGATTTGGGGGACGGGAGTTTTGCTTTGTTAGCTACTCTATTTTACTTGAGACGGCTTTGCTAAGTATGATATTTTTTTTGTATTTGTTATTTTAGGAGCTCGAAGAAGAAGCCAATAGGCCCCCTGATCTCTCGAATCTTCAGAGGAGGATAAAAGAGAGTGAGTTTTATGTCTGCTTATAAGTTTTCTGCCGTATTCTCTCCCTTTTGGTTATTCCTAAACTCATTCTTCTCTACCTTTACTTAAATATGACTCAGTTGTTCGTGTGCTTTCAAATTTTGGGGAGCTGAGGCCTAAGGGTGTGACACGAAAAGAATATACTCATCAACTTAAGTTGGATTTGTGTTCATATTACGGATATAATGAATTTCTGATCGAAGCCTTGATGGAGGTGATTTATCATCTGTCACTTTTGCACTTCACAATACCTTTGCCTTTTGTTTTTCTTCTCCTCTTTCACCCCTTAAAACTTATGGTAATTTACATTCTCTTTGTAGATTTTTCCTGTTGTTGAACTCATGGAACTTATTGAAACTTTTGAAAAGCCTCGGCCAATATGTCTTCGTGCAAACACTTTGAAAGTGAGGATGACCCTTTTGATTTCTTGTAATCCTATTACATAGTCATGTTTTCTCCATTTAACGTGTTGCATCTTGTTAAAACATACTTGGGCTAAAGACACGAAGGAGAGATTTGGCTGGTGTGCTATTGAACAGGGGTGTCAACTTAGATCCTTTGAGCAAATGGTCAAAAGTAAGAGTTTTTGCTTGTGTCATCTGACTGATCTTTTTAAGGTTTTATTTTTCTGTACTGATCTTTAAAGAATATTGTAAAACATTTCCTGAATTTGTAGGTTGGCTTGGTTGTATATGACTCTCAAGTTCCGATCGGTGCCACTCCTGAATACATGGCTGGTCATTATATGGTATGATCTGTGCTCTTGTTGTTGAAGATTTTTTGTTTTTGGCTGGTCATGCTGCTAACAGTAAGTTTCTTAACAGCTACAAGGTGCAAGTTCTTTTTTGCCTGTGATGGCCCTTGCTCCTCAGGAGAAGGAAAGAGTGGTTGATATGGCGTAAGTAACCACAGCTTGTTCCTGAATCATTTATTGGCTTTTTCTTTCTATGTTTTGAAATCCTTACAAGCTACTTTTTTTTTCCTCCCAAAATTCTTGGCAAACTATTCTGTACTTATGAGCTGCTTCTATTTTCTTCCCAAAATTCTTTTCTTGGCAAAACTATTCTGTGCTCATGAGCTGCTTTTTCCGTACTCTTTCCTTCTTTGCCTCCATTGTGTTTACCCATCTTCATATTCTGGTTGTTCCTTCCTCCTGCCTGCTTCCAGACCTTTTGGCTCATTTATTCTCTATGTCCGTAACTTACTGTTTTCAAATTCTCACATTGGCATGTTTCCAGCTGTGAAATTAATTGCCTAGGTATCAGTCCTTTTTTTAAATTGTTATATGTACTTCATTGAGTGTGTTTGCATCTCTTTTAATCTTCTTTGTAATTATTGTAGGGCTGCCCCTGGTGGTAAAACAACATATATTGCTGCGCTAATGAAAAATAGTGGTATGTTTGATTTATTGATTTATGGCCAATGCTGTTTTAAGTCTTCCTTTGGTGTTTATTTTGGTGACTTGACAGGACAACACTTTTTGGTTGCCATGCCAAAACCTTACATCTTCACATGTGATGCTTGTTCAGATAATTATAACCTTTTCTACCCAGACATACGCCTTCCCTGTCCTTGTATTCTTGCATAGTTTTGCACTATTGTTGTTAACATTGGGAAAACATTTTTTGATGACCAGCTGCTTTTCAGAATTTAAGAACTGCAATGTATTAAGCATGCAAGCAAATAGTAGTTGCTTAGCTTATGCAATGGTGCAACAACTTAAATGAGTGAATTCTTTGGGCATTTTGGATTAGTATTTCCTTGATTGGTTTTTGGGGTAAAGAAGTACGAGACATGATGGGTATTGATTATGTTGCTATTGTCTCTAAAGCATTCCGCTGCTGAATGGCATGTGAGACTTGAATAATCTTCCATTTAATGTTTTGCTGCTGCTATTGTGGAAGGCCTTCTCTTGTTCCTTGTTTTCTTTTAGCTTCCCTATGAGCTTTGAAGAAGCCCCAAAATGGTGGAACCGTTGCAGGACAAACAAATGTCTAACTTTATAGATTGTGGTGCTGGCGGACCATGTCTAAACTTGCTTTCTACTTGTGTTCTCTCTATGTGTGTGTTTGTATGGTTGCATATGCTATAATAAAATTATCCTGGTATTTTCATATTTGCTGCCCTAGAATTGGTAAACTTTTGGTTTAATTTTCCTTACCTGTGCTCTTCCTTAAAACACAGGAATAATTTATGCAAATGAGATGAAGGCATCAAGGCTCAAATCACTCAGTGCAAACATACATCGTATGGGAGTGACAAACGCTGTTGTTTGTAACTATGATGGGAGGGAGGTTAGGATCCTTTTTTATGGCATACTCATTTGTGCTGCTAACTGTGGACCTTTAGTATTATTTATTTGTTATTCTGGATGAGGAGAAATCTTTTAGTAATTACTAGTGCGCATGTAATGTGACTATGAGCAAGTATCATCATGAAGACCAATCATTCTTTCCTATTCTTTTTGGGAATAGTTTATGTTTGTGCCAATCGTTTAATGGCCTTTTGATTTTAAATTTGATTTTCAGCTGCCCAAGTTTCTGGGTCAAAACACTGTGGATAGGGTGTTGTTGGATGCTCCTTGTAGCGGTACTGGGGTATGTGATTAGGGTTCACAGGTTATTTCCATAATTGGTTTCTTCCCCCAATCTCCCCCCCTCCCCCTTTTTTTTCTGTTTCCAATGCCTGATATAACTAGATGCTTTTAATTATATGCGCAGGTAATATCTAAAGATGAGAGCGTCAAAACCTCAAAAACTGCTCTTGATATACAGAATTCTGCCCATTTACAGAAGGTACTTCTGACGATGTCAATACCTTATAAAGAAATAGATTCCTCTATTTAGGTATAATCTGATGTTGCCTATAAGCTGTTATTGGAAACTTGGTAAACTTGTGAGCATCAGAGTATTGGTCATGAGAAAACTTTGGGACTAAGCAGTGTAAGAATGTCGTCTTTTGAGTTGATAGAAGAACTAAGGATATTGCGGTCGCTCTTGTAATTTCAGGTGCCTTCGATAGACAACAGAACCTGTCGCATGTGGATCCCAGTAATAGAAATATCATAGGGTTTAGATTTCTTTTTTGGCCTAATAATTGCAATTGTCTGTTTATCTATATTGGGAGGTGCACGTGCCTTCTATCAATCACGTGTATTTCCTGCAGTTAAATCTTAGTTGTCATAAAAAAAAATTATACTAGTCAAGATAAAAAAATGGAGAGTGCTTGGGCTTATAACCAGCTGAAGGAAGTCGGGTTGAATCATAAATGTTTATGGGTTGAATATATAACCAGCTGTTCTACGAGGAGGTTAAGCAACCTGGTTTGCCTTTTTAATTGTGCAATAATTTGGACTATGTTTTGCTGCTCTAGCTTTTTCAGATGTCTTACCTGGTGTAGAATCTGCTTGAAATGTTTTATTCGAGACTATGATTCAGTTTGATTTGCTACATAGAATGTGCTTCGTTTAACTTGTGCTTTCCTTCTCAGCAATTAATTCTTGCAGCAATTGACATGGTAGATGCCAACTCAAAATCAGGAGGATATATTGTTTATTCAACATGCTCAATTATGGTTGCCGAGGTTAGTGATTCATGCTTCTGAATATCCAGTATGCACGCCATCCATTTGTTGTTGCTTCTTAACATTTGGGCTTTTACAGAATGAAGCAGTCATAGACTATGCGCTCAAAAAGAGAAGTGTTAAGCTTGTGCCATGCGGTCTTGACTTTGGCCGTCCAGGGTATTGTTAATATTCCCAGTTATGTGGATCAGCATGTCTTTGCGCATGAAATAACAGTGGATGTTCTTCCTTAATGTAGGTTTATTCGTTTTAGAGAACACCGGTTTGACATCTCACTGGAGAAGACAAGACGCTTCTATCCCCACGTTCATAACATGGATGGATTCTTTGTGGCGAAGGTATGTTTAGTGACTGGCTGGTAATTCTGATTTTAAAAGATCTGGTCCGTGCATGATTTGAAACACAAAAAGTAGCATTTTTCCCTCACACAGGATTTCAATCACTGTTTGGGCGTCTCTGGCGAGGAAAGATTTTTGCGATCAATTTTAATGGGGAAAACATTTGTATGTTAGTTTTAGTAGTAAAATTTGCACGTTTTAAAATCAATAGGATGCTGTAATACTGACTTAACTGTGCACTACCAATGCTTCCCCAGTCCCCACCACCTGCCAAAGAAACCAAAAGAAGAAAAATGAAAGTAGCATGTTTGCTTAAATTTGCCATGTCTGTCTTGCACCTACACAGTTTTGCACCCCTTGTCTTGAATATAGTTCTGACCAAATTTGCCTACATCTTCTTTCCTTTTGTTTTTCGTTTTTTCCTTTGCTTTTTCTTCCAGTTGAAGAAAATTAGCAATGCCATACCAACACCAACAGACAGTGGGCCCAGAAGGGAAGTGGGCCAAGATACTGAGCAGATCAAAGGCAGCTGCCAGAATAAGGTTCCTAATGTGCTTCGCGAGGAATTTGGGGCTGCAAAAGAGAATAGGAGCCGACCGATTCATTTTGCTAGAGATGGAAAAGGAAAGGACCAATACGCCTCTAAAAAGAGGAAGAAGGGAAGAAGGTATGTTGGAAAGGAAGGGCACCGCACAAGTAAATAAAAGGCGGGGCATAGGCCTCACGGGGAGCTACGGACGTATATCTGAGTTATACAGGTCGGGGCCTAGCAAAATGTGTACAGCTATGGATCAGTATTTTTGTATGTTTGGGTTCGGAATCCCAAAATGTGCAGCAAATATGAGCCTGAAACGATTTTTTTTTTTTTTTTTTTTGGTTGGGGTTGTTGCAGGCATACATTTAGGCAACGTCTCGTCTGTGTCATTTTTTTTTTAAATTTTTTGGGCGAAAACCATCCATCCAATTCGACTCAATTGGTAACCTAACTATTTGTGCTGAGCTGAGTTTTAGCAGCTTGAATTTTGGTGAAGCAAATTCCAAAGTTTTTATTATATATCTTTAATTAATGAACGGCTGGCTGTTTCTGATGGAGATAACTTTTCAACTATTGGTCTGGTCGGGGGATTGGATGCCGGAATTTGATGGATGACTCTTTTTAAGTAGCACCGCATCAGTAGCTGCATTTATACCTGGCAATTATGTTCAAAACTCAACAATCCACCCAACCCACTCACTAATTTCAGAGGGTGGATTGAGTAATTTGGGTGTTGGGTCAATTTTGGGTTGGGTAATAAAAATTCAAATATATTTTGGGCGGATTGGGTATTTGTGTTGGGTACCCATTACCCAACTTCCACTTTCATTTGACAGAGATGTTACAGATGTAAAACTTGTTTTTATACTATTGTCTTCTCTAGTTTGTGCAAATTATAAATATTACTACCCAGATTTCTGGTTAGCATCAAATTTGACTCTCAAGCGGATTAAAGTTTTTCTTGAATAAGAGGAGAATAATTTAAGTCTTGGCATTCTTCGTTAAACTTTTACTAGAATTATATTTCATGTTAAACTATGAATTAGGTGACACCCATAATAAGGATCATAGGAATGGCCAACTAATCGTGAAGGATATATGGCGTAATATGGAGTATAACACAAAAATGTTGAACGGAGGATCAAATGCCAAATTCTACTTATGATATATTCAGAATAATTTTCAGATGCAAATTCGGAAGTTATCTTTTAGGATGCAACATGATTCATTTTGTGTTTATTTCTAATTTCTCCATTTTACAACGGCTCAGATGTGTTATCGTGCATGATTCTTTTGTGTTTATTTTTTGGGTCAAAATTTCAGTTTATAACTTTCTTTAAAGTGTGATTGGATCCAAATAGTTTAAACAGTTAGTATGTGTGTGTATTTGTGAAAGTATATTAGTGTGTTTGTATGTGTAAAAATAACGTATTTCAAAGAACTTAAAAAGTGAGTGTGTGTTTGTATCTGTGAGTGTTTTAGTGTGTGAAAATATATCTATCTATGTGAAAATGTATTTATGTGTGTGATTTTTTTTTTTGTATGTGAAAATATATTTGAGAGAGTTTATGTATCAAAATCTATTATTTAATATATTGGGTCATATTTGGGTCATGGGTTTGAGATAACCCAACCCAAAATTAATCCAACCTAATATTAGGCGGATTGGGTGTAATCCATTTAAATGAAAACCCAACATCAACCCGTCCAATTGCCAGGTATAGTTGCATCATAGCATGGTGCATTCATTACCATGCATATTTATTAGTTTTTATTGTTTGTCATAATGGCACATCTAATCTAGTAGTTTAATATACTCTTATTCCTACTGGAGAGAACCTACTCTAAAGTGGAATGATTTGAATTGAGTCGAGAGAACTTGACGGAAACTGAACCACCATTGAATTAGATGGGTGCACCACACACTCGTATGAATTTAGAACAATTTTCATATAAAGGCGCATTGATGGGAAATTTTATTAAACCTCTCATCCCACAATTAATGTGGTGGCCAACTCACTCCTTTAGAGGGAGTTGGTCTATCATATTTATTAGTTTACTGGTAGTGATTGTTGGTAGATTTTTTTTTTAAAAAAAGAAGGTTTAATAAAAGGAAAGGGAAGAAGATTCCCTGAGAAATTTTTTTTTAAAAGAAAAAAAGTAGGCGGATAAGATTAGGTTTGGCAGGTAAATGAATGATGAAGGTGGTAAGTTGTCGTGGTCTGTGTCTTGCTTCTCTTCTGCGCCGTGATTCTCTCTTGTCTTGAGGGAGGAACGTGATGAGATGAGAGGTGAGCGGTGAGGATGGAATTGGATGGTTTTTCTTCCTTAATTGACGCCTTGCTTCTTGCTCCTCCTCGTCTCATATCATTCAACTAACACATCTGGGTTGGGTAAGTCCGCTGGTATTATTTATTTATTTAGTGTACTAATAAATTTCAAATATGTTTTTGTTTGGTCGTTTTCCATTTGTCTCCTATACTATACTATATACTACTTTTGCTCTCCATTTATTTATTTATTAGATAGATTCTTGTCCGCTTTTTGCGTAAGTACCGTACTGAGTATATGCCAATGCGCCTCTCCGTAAAGTAGTGAGTATTTCTCTGCTACGTACCATTCATTCATTCGTCTCATTTGTAGTACGTCAGCTTTCCTTCTTTACATACACTGTCACTCTCTGCTGGTACTTACTTACTACTCGTCTACTACTAGTACTGCTATTGTATACTGTATAGGAGGAGGAATACAAGAGCAAAGCATGTAGTGATTTTTTCTTAAACAAAAAAAAATTTCATAAAGAGGCTTAAAGAAAAAAAAAGAAAGAGAGAGCAGAGTTTGTCGTCACTTTTGTAGCATTGAATTGATTGGTCTACCATAAAAAGAAAAGGGGAAAAAGAAAGAAAGAAAGGAAAAAAAAAAAAAAAAAAAAAAAAAAAAAAAAAAAAAAAAAAAAAACCAAAAGAGAGAGATGGGCAGTGGCAAGTGGCAACGAGTGAGTGAGGGAGGGAAAGCATTTATTAGTATAAAGACTAGCAGACTTCAGGCTACAGCCCATGCCCACTTAAAATTTTAAGTGGAAATGCATGAAATCAATGGAAGACAAAAGCAGAATATAAGCCCACTTATGTACAGTATATTACTAAATACCAGAGTAAATCTTAATTCTATCACTAACTATTAATTAGTCATTAGCTAAACTAACTATAACTATATTTGGAGATAAAATTTTAATTGGAGTTTAGCTTAACAATTAAGTTTGAAATTCTTATTTATTTCAATATTGTTTAAGAATTGAGATTATGAGTTAGAACTTAGGGTTATGAACCCTTTTTTTTTTTTTTTTTTTTGCATTTCATATTTGTTTGAGTAAGTCGATTAATTTTTTTTGAAAAACATATGGGATATTATTATTTTGTTATAACAATTTTTTTAGAGCAAATTAAAATATTTTAACTTGCTACTGATTTTCCAATCCAATTTATCAAACCAAGATTTGGACGGGAATCGGATATTGGACTTAAAAAAATCAATTCCCAAATTATCAAAACTTTTTTTTATCGAATTTTCGATTATTGATCGATGAACACCATAAACATAAGGCCAGACTTGTTTGATCCTGCATGAACGATAGGCCAAGAACAACAATGTGCAAGAACTATTAGCAAATCACTTGTCAAATTATTAAGAATCAAATTATTAACAAGGCACGTAACGAGCAATGAAACAAAGTAATAAAGTTCGACCCTTTCTTATATAGTACTCTTGTATAATAAGTAGATTTAGGCGATGGATCAATGGTTGCCCCACTCCCAAACCCACCAAGTGTCGGTGCTCCTCAGCTCTCATAACAACCCCACAATGCAAATGCACCCATCAAACCAATGCAAATGTAGGACTACGACTGCAGTCTACCTCTTTTACTTTACTTACTCGAACTTTTTTTTTAGAAGCCCAGTCTTGTTATATGGAGTAACATCCTCTTCTTTCTTCTGCATTCCTCTCTTTTTTTTTAGGAAAAAAAACTTACTGCTGCTACTACGGCTACTATAAAATTGTTGTATATATGAATCTTCATCATATCATCATACTATATATATATATCTGTTCGGTATTCGGTTGTTAAGGTGACTCCAAGTTCATGAATTCTTCTTATATAGCGGGCGAAGTACTTGCAGTACTTACTAAAGAAAGAAAGCCCACCAAACCAAACCAACATCATCATCAATCATCAATCATCTGAGAAATGAGAAATTTGCAATTCAAGCGGCGGTCTGAAAACAATTAGCGAAGACGTAGGTAAATAAATGGTCATTTCTTTCTTTCTTTTTATAAGCAAACAAAAACAATAATAATACTGACTATATAATAATAGTAGTACTACTCGTAGAGTCCTAGTATATAGCCAAGCACAGGACAGGACAGGGCTGACCCAACAGCAAAAACAACAAGAAACCCACCCCAAAATCTGCCATATTTCTTCCCACGCAGGCCACCACGCTATCTACTACCTCCCTCCCTCCCTCCCTCCCTCTTGTCTACTACTCCACCTCCTCCTCCTCCTCCTCGAGATATAGTAATAGATATAGATAGAGAGAGAGGAGATCTGGGCTCTGTCCGAAATGGCGGTGGATCCTCGTCAAGTGGTTGCAGGAGTGCTAACTGTCACCATGTTTGTCATGCTTGGAAACATGATCAAGCGCGACCATTTCGAGTCTCTTCAAGTAATTCTTTCTTCTTCTTCTTTTGTGTGTGTATATATATATATATATATATATTGGGTTCAACTACTTCTTGTTCTCTGCTATTCTACCTCACAAGCTTCTACTTCTACTGCTTGATGATAGCTAATTAGATATGATGATGCCGCTAGCTTCATGGCTCCTAAACGCTCCTTCTTTTCATCCCCACTTCTTCTTCCGCTCCCCATTGCTATGAAAAACCATCAAATCTTGGAATTTTTTTCACCTCATTTTTCCTTCTCTGCGATCCCCTTTCCTGTTTCCCATGCTTCACTGCCTCTACCTCTCTCTTCTTTTACTCTACCTCTCTCGGCTTACTTATCTTTAATCTTCTCTCTCTGTCCGTTTGTCAGTAACACAGAGAGATTTCGGTGTTTGTAAATCTGAACAATGTGCAGTCCATCTATCTCTCTCTCTCTCAAGTTTCAGCATTGATCTACTTGAACTAATGAATCGTTTTGTTACATGTCTCCTTTTCCGCTACTTACTCCTGTTCATTTTTGTTTGTCTTACCTGTTGACTGAAGGTGAATGACTCCGAAATCCCCTCTCTCCACGACAGCACCAAGGCTTCTGAGCAGAGCCTCGTTACTCTTCCTGATGGGGGAGCTGATGCACCTTGGAAGAAGGATGGCTCCACCCTCAAGCCCTGCTGGACTAAGCCTGTTCTGGGTCAGTTTACTTTATTGTAGCCTGCATTCTCGCAAAGTCGATGACCTCAAAGCTTTCGTTTTTCTAGTTTCAGACACTTTTGAGATCTTTGTTGCTGCTTCCTGTA